AGTTTTGTTTTGTTTTGCTTTCTGCCTGTAGGCATGTTTTATGTAATCTATCCTAGCAAACTGAGTTACTGACAGAGATGGAGGAGGAAAAAAATCTCTTAGTAGTATATTTTATTTTTCTTCCTTCAAGGACTGTCGGCAGATTTGTCCAAATTTACATCACCATTGTTACAGTATATCATTTTGCCATCATCAATATACTGACTGTTGCACTGGCAAAGGGATAACTATCTTTTCTATGTTCTAGTAGGTCTTCCAGCTTAACACATTGTTCTAAGATACTATTTCAAATGAATTAAAAATGGCCTGTAAGCTTTCAAACTGAGAATGCTCCCAAATCTATGCATATTTACTCAGAAGTAAGTCCCAAGTTCAATAGGGCACAGTTATGTGTAAGCACTGCAGTCCAAGATTGCTTTCATACAATACTGCTTCAGATCTGACCCCTTGCATAATGAATATGACCTCTGGGCTGATTTTCATAACTATATAATTCCTTTTGATAAAATATGCTCCCAATTTATGCTTTCATACAATACTGCTTCAGATCTGATCCCTTGCATACTTAATATGATCACAAAATTCCCCCCAGTGGACCTCTGGGCTGATTTTCATAACTATATCATTTCTTTTGATAAAATATGCTCCCAATTTGCAGGACATATCAGCAGCAACTTTCTATCTGCAGCATTAGGCTGTGACTACATTCAAAAACTGAATCAGAACATTTTAGCTTTGCTGCTGTTTGATTCATAGTCTGAATTTGCAATCAATGCTCACACAAGGCTATGACTTGATTGGAGAGTTCACCATTCACACTTGTTGCAATCTGAGTGGCATTCCAGCCCACAGTGCCCTTCCTTTGTTCCTTCCTCTGACTTCACACCTGCCCACCCTTTTGTCCTCTAGTCCCACCTCTGCAATTCTTTTATGATTTTGTATTCTCGAAGGCTTTCACGGCCAGGATCTGATGGTTGTTGTGGGTTTTTTGGGTTCTTTGGCCATGTTCTGAAGGTTGTTCTTCCTGACGTTTCGCCAGTCTCTGTGGCCGGCATCTTCAGAGGACTGGAGTAGGAACTCTGTCCATGCTCTGTTGCTATTTGTTGGATAGTTGACTATTTATAGCTGTGGAGCAGTTTTTGTCTTTTTTTCAGGAGATAGGGTGATCAACGTGTTTTTTGTTTTGATAAGGAGGGGAAGATTATCTGTTACTGTGATTGATGGGTGTTGTTAGCTGGTCTTTTTTGTGCAATGATCCCTTGTCCTTGTGGCTGGGTAGAGTTCATTGACCTTTTATAGGCTGTATTTTTCAATATTGGGAGCCAGGCCGCGTTTAGTTTTAGGCCTTCATCCTTTTTGTTGAAATTCTTTATTTGTATTTCTGCCATACGTACAAAGGGGTCACGGACCACATGGGGAAACTTTTGAAAAAACACAACCTACAAGCAGTATTCAGACCCATCACAAAAATACAACAAATGTTACGGTCAGCAAAGGACAAAAGGGACCCCCTCACCACTGCAGGAGTATACCGGATACCTTGCAGTTGTGGCCAGGTATATATTGGAACCACAAAACGCAGCATTCACACCAGAATCAAAGAACATGAGAGACACTGCAGACTAAAACAACCGGAAAAATCAGCAGTAGCTGAATATACCCTAAAACAAGCTGGACATGAAATTCTATTTCAAAATACTGAAGTACTGGACAACACCAGCCACCACTATGTTAGACTGCACAGGGAAGCCATTGAAATCCATAAACATAAAAATAAACATAAAATCCAAATCCATAAACCATTTAGTCTGTGATGAGGCCTTTCTATTTGCATTTCTGGGGAATGGAGTGTTCCCAGAAAGTTAGAATCTAACAAATACTGTAATAGTCAGGGACAATAATGGGGTAAGAGTATCACTAAAAGTGTGTAGATAGGGCAGCTTTCACCTGTGTGGCCTTTATTTGGGCATGAACTGGGTTGGGGGCTGGTTTCTACACATTCCTACCTTATCAATAAAGAAAGATGCATGAGAAATAACATGTGAAAGTTTTATGTACGTCTCTTCTAGAATTCTGAGGCATCTTGAAAGATCTTCAGTTACTAAGATATTTTCTCAGATTCACAATCAATAGGATTCACAATCAATAGGATTCACAATCAATAGTTTGTTCATTATCATGCAGTGCTTGCAGCTCCTTGGGTTAATTCTTGGGTCAGTTTCAGAAACAGAAAGAAAACAAGAGTTTTCCAGCTGGAGAAGGATGAAGGTAGAAACTGACTCCCTGCCACTTCATATGTTGGCCAGTTCCCAGATTTTCCTGAAACCTTTCTCTTGACTATTGAGCAAGGAGATTCTACTGTGGATTGAGGTGTGCTTTATGAAATCAGAGGAAAGAGATGAAAATTTGGTGCAAGCATGTTCTGTGTGTCTACAAAAAGTCCATGCACACCCATTTTCTCAATGTCCCTTTTCCCAATCTTGCACATCAGCAGGTTTCCAGCAGGCCTTAAGGGAACATTTTCAGGTCTTTTCCTTTGCAAGGTCAAGTGCAAAGGTGAGAGGCCTTGATCATTCCTTTCTCAGGGAAGGAAAGCAGGTTTTGGTTCAGAGGGTTGAAAGTCAGCTCCAGTTTGCCTCCAGAATACAACATTCTGTGGCTATCTGTTGGCTATTGGTGGTGAGTGGACTGCTGGTGGTTGCTTTCTGCATCCACAGAAGGGATCCTACCACAATGGAGGATCTTCTACCCAAACTACCTGCACTCTGCTCTGCAGGCACAGAAGCAACCATAACCCATTCCAATAATCAGCAGCTTGGTTTAGGAGTAAACATTTCTATAATCATTTCAAAAGACTGGTGTATCTTATAGCAACTTTTGAATTATGAATTGAATTATAGCTGTATTGAGTGATGTATAGCAATTTTTATAATTATTATATGTCCTTTGGTTTTTCTTTTCTGAGATGAATATATATAAAGCAAAAAAAGTGCAAATAAAGCAATTACAAACACTATCAACACACCTAGCAATCTGTAAAAAATAGTGTATCTTTATTTAGGAAAAACAGAAGCATTTTATCAAAAAACATAATATAGTCAGAGTTCAGTACAATTTGGGTGGTTCAAATAAACATTTTGTTTACATCTCATCCTTAGCTTGCAATCATTTAGACAAGTTCTAAGTACTCTGATCAGGCCTTGTTAATAAATAAATAAAAAAAATAAGTATGTTAAAATGAATTAAATATACCTTTATATAAATACATTCTCATAAAACTGTTCAAATATAATTATTTGTAATAAATAATACAAAATCAGTAAAAAGTAAATTATGATACATGGTCCAGTACTGAGTAATAGTTATTGTTTGGAGATTTAAGAGCCAAGTACGTCTACAGTAAATGTCAACTGAGCAAGCCCTTTTCAAAGGAGTCAGTGGTAAACAAAATAGCTGCACATCTGATCTCTAATAAATTAATAAATATATATTATTTTTGGTAGCATAGTTGTGGGCTGTGCCCCAAAACAGAAAACATTGCACAATAAGCTGTCCTAGTGTCCAGTTTCTTAACATTTGTACAGTATATTTGATATTGGTTAAGTAGCTTCAGTGTTAAACCTGACAGCAATCAAGAGAGCGTAATTTTTTAAAAAATACATAAAATAAATAAATATAAATATTTTAAAATTACTGAAATAGAAAACAACTTTGCATTTAAAAAAAATGTTCTTAAACTTCGTTTTGCATGGTCATCTCTGGAAGCTTTCCATCCAGGCAAAGAGAAGGTCCATCTCTCCCATAGCTTTGATTGTTGCTATATTCTGATCAAGCTGCAAAAGGGAAAAGAATTGAAGATGGTCTAAAACTGAAGAATATATAAGCAACAAAGTGTGTGTTTGTATTTAACTCATGGAATAAGTGTTATTTGCAGAACCATTTGTTGGTTTTCAGTTAGATTTCTTTTTCTTACATACCAATATCTGTTTCTAGTTACACAAAGAATTCTTTGTTTCAGTAGTACAATTTAAGATGTACAGCATTTTCTTGCTGTTAATGTTAAACTACTAGGCATCAAAAAATAAGGTCTGATCTGTTCCCAGTTTTCCAGAGATCTGTCAGGTAGATCTCCATCTACTTTATTTCCAGTGGATAAGAGACCAGAATGGACTCAGTATGGTCAAGTTACATTTTGTCAGAATGAACTCATACGTTATACTGGAAAGTCTGAATGTTCATTGGGTTTTTGCCAAACAGCAACAGAAGTTTCAATAATAGAGAAAGATGGAATAAACAGGCCAAGTTACCTTTTCATATTCCTCCAGTACAAGTTTAAATCTTCTATGGGACTCTTCACCACAAGCACATTTGTTTTTCTTATGCTGATGTGTAAAACACACAGAGGGGGGCATGGTTAGAACAGTGACATGGAACAAAATCAAAGAAGCAATCTGTCATATTTCAGGAGTAAAAATTAATTGACCTGGACAACCTTGGATACAGAAGCTCTCCTCATTTAATTCATAGCACAAAGGTAGTGTTTAACTTATACAAAATATGTTGTAATTGCCATGGCATTTTAGGGATTTGAGGGCATGAGGTCATTGGGAATCCAAATTCCTAGCATTTGGTCTTATTAACAGAAAAGCAGAGTTACAACCAACCCATTCCCAAACTGAGAAAAGGTTCCCTTTAATTGCACCCTCTCTTTCCCCCCCCCCATCTTTTTCTCTCCCTCTCCTCCAATTTCCTATATCCTTTTAAGACTGGAAACTTGAAAAAAGGGTTTGTCTTTTATTAATTGACTGAAATATACGAATTTCCCATAAGAACGAACTTTCCCATAAGAAAGTTGTCAACTATAGAACAGACTATAACTGCTACAAATAAGTAATAAAATAAATAAATGACACTTACACACTCCCTAAGGTTTGTTTTGATGCCAAGGAAAGCATTGGCTAAGGTACTGGTTTTCCTTATAAGCAAGTTGCTTGTTGGTTCATAGTGTTTGAAAATTCTTTCAATGTAAAACCTCAGCAGGTGACGGAGTAAGCAGCAACTCTCTGACATCTAAAGGAGAAACAAACAGCATTAGGCTCAAATGGTCAGATCACTAGTTTTTACACAGATGGGTTCAAAATGATACTGAAGTCCTCCCGAGACCAGTTCCCACATGAAAAATAAATGAATAAAAATTAACAGCATAAGACATATATAGAGCTTTGATTTAAAAAAAAACACCTAGATTTAAGCCTGATAACAATTTCATACTGTGCCCCAGCTACTAGCTTACTCTAAGACATTGTATGTAATGTCTCATAAAACTGTTTGACATAATAAGCAATGTATGGACTGTAAAAACCTTACACAAAGATGATAATGATGATAATAATAATGATACTGGGCATTAGCTGATGGTTGGATTCCAAAAGATCTCCTGTATGGAGAATTAGTGCAGGGAAATCGCCCCAGAGGGTGACCACAGCTGTGATACAAGGATATCTGCAAGCTGGATCTGAAGGCCTTCAAAATGGACCTCCACAGATGGGAAACCTTGACATCTGACCATTCAGCCTGGAGGCAGGCAGTGGATCACAGCCTCTCCCAATTTGAAGAGACCCTTGTCCAGCAGGCCGAACCAAAGAGGCAGTCCCATATCCAGCAAAACCAGAGAGCTGGACAGGGGACAGATTGTATTTGTCTTCAGTGTGTAAGGGATTGTCACTCTCGAATTGGCCTTTTCAGCCACATTAGATGCTGTTTCAAGTCCTCAATACAGAGCACGTTACCATAGTCTCTCGAGACTGAAGGATGCCTAAGGGCATTCGTTTGTAGGGGAAATTGGATGACTGTCATCTTGTAATGCAAGTAGTCACTGGGCCCTACACAGAGCATGACAATTGTTTTGCAGAAAAATGAAGATTTTGATGAGCAGTGAGAATTCATGAAATTAATTTGGCACAGTGGTGTTCATAAGCAAGAATGCTATGGCATTTGACACTTCATAAGAACTGGAATCCAAATTAACAGATTACTGCTAGTCAGTTCGTTTGTAAAGAATTAGATACACACACTATACAGTGGTGCCTCGCTTAGCGAGTGCACCGTATAGCGATGTTTCCGTATAGCGATCCCTTTTTCGGGATCGCTATATGGAAACATAACCGATCTTCGCAATGGGGAAGATCGGGCATTGCGAAGATCGGGTATTGCGGTGGCCATTTTGGAGCCGCCGAACAGCTGATCGGCGGTTCCAAAATGGCCGCCGGAAGCCCGGAAATGGCTGCCAACAGCCGTTTTCGCGCCCTGCCCTCCCTTAGCGAGGGCGCGAAAATGGCTGCCGGCAAGGGGAATCCTCGCTGAACGGGTAAGTAAGCAAGGTATTGGAACGCATTAAACTAAGTTTAATGCGTTTCAATACGTTTCCCCTACCCGTTTAGCGACGATTCCGCATAGCGAGGGTTAATCCGGAACGGATTAACCTCGCTATGCGGGGCACCACTGTACATTTATTTTTACAGTTCTTCCTCTCCTAAACACAGAGGCCAGTATCATTTTGCTTTTCCCAACTAAGAATCAATCCACCTAATTAAGTGCCAGATAGAAAAGCAATTCTTTTGTAAAATCCATTGAGTCAATGGGTCTATTCTAGTTGGCATTTTTGTTGTTTAGTCGTTAAGTAGTGCCCGACTCTTCGTGACCCCATGGACCAGAGCACGCTAGGCCCTCCTGTCTTCCACTGCCATTCATGCTGGTGGCTTCAATGATACTAGTGATAAAATATAAGCCAAGCTGACTTAAAAATCAATTCTTGGCTTTCACAAGTAAGACCCATAAGAGCATTCCTGTATGTTAAAGAAGCTATATTTACCATGACTTCATGTAGGACACTTTCATTCAACAGTACAACATCTGTCCTGTTATCTTGACTTTGCTGCAGGCACAAAGAAAACAGAAATCATATCAATAGAGGTGCCTGGAAAAGTCATGGGGGGGGAGAGAGAGGGAGATTGAATTTCATCTGAGGTAAAACAGCAGCAATTAGGACCCATTCTTTATATTTTGACACTGCAGTCAGGCAACTAGCTTGACTCGTGCTTCATAATGTCTTCTGCGCTAATGCTACCAGTATGATATTTCCTTAAGATCCACGACTCTTGGGACTTAACCTGAATTTTGTGTCTCTGGTTTTTGATTTACTGTTTCACTTCACTTCTGATTTCACTTCTGTCTTATGTCAATTGAACAAATTCTTGGTCTCCAAAAGGTCCTGTCTTCATTAGCCCTTCTCAGGTCTTTCAAACTCAAGACATGGCTTCCTTTATGGAGTCAGTCAATCCATCTCATACTTGGTCTTTGCCTTCTCCTGTTACCTTCAACTTTTCCCAGCATTATTATCTGGTGGTGGGTGAGGCCAAATCCAAAAGTGGGTAGAATGGCTCTTCCCCTCACCATCCACCCACCCACCCATCCATCCATCCATCCACTCATTCTCTCCTTTACACACAGTTGCACATCTCTACCTAGCTTCATGTTCACACAAATCAAACACCCTAATCCTTGCTTCATCTTCCTTCATATTCTGCACTCACCTCACTTACTTCAGTTGAAAAGAGACTGCATGAGAAAAGGTCCCAGGCTGGTTTTCTGACATCAGCAGTTAAAATAATCTCAAGCACATTGTCAGGAATATTCACTGTGGTGGAAAAATCTCTTGAGCAAGTTGTGATCCACTGATTAGCTCTCAATGAAAACTAAGACAATTACAGGAGTATTTGGGGTCATGCTTCAGGAAACAGTAAATCATGCTGCAGGCAGTTGTCTGTCATTATTCTGTTTGACTGTCATACACTTCTGACCAGCCTGATGAAGCAATAGTAGAAGATATATCTGGGTTGCTATAGAACACCACTATCCTGATCTGTGTATTTGCCCTTTTTGTCTTCAGGAATTCAAAAGGCTACATATATATACGTGTGTGTGTGGAATCATTGAAATATCACAAATGTGCTGAAATTTTAATCCTTCAGACTTCATCATCATGCTAGATTAGAGATGGTTGAAATGCAGCCCTCTCAAGGTGTTACTAGATAGAAACCCCTTACTATTGGTTGTGGTGCCAAAGACTCATGGAAGTCGTACTCCAAAAAACATCTGGAAGATCTACATGATTCAGAATTTAGGGGATTAGGAAGTGTCACCTCCTAAGAAATTTTTCTAAGGGTAATCTCAAACTTGGAATAAAAGAACATTTTCACACTGAGATGACTGGTGGACTAAGCCCTGGGGGGCTCAACTTAAAATTTATGGGGAAGTTCTCTGTGTTCCTGTAATTAGCTATGCTTCTCAGGACACCAGTTCCACAACCAGCTACTAGATGTCTTCTGTGTGACTGCTGAATGTAAACTTATATTTTCCGTATTGCTACACTGCCAGTTGGAAGTTGGAAGCCACACTATATGTAGTCATGTTGCCACTTGACAGTAAATCAAAAACCAGAGACACAAAATTTGACAGTTCATACCAATAACCACCAGTAAGGATGCCCACCCATTTTCCTTCAGAGAAAGGAAGATAAACCACTCAATGATAGTCCCCTCTTCCTGTTTATTTCTTTAATTTATTTTCTTTATTGTTAAACAGTTATATTTGAAATTCCAGTAATCTGGTTTCAAAAAACATTGCGTCCCAGATTTCAGTGTTATTTTCAGCATTATTTCGTTCACTAAGACAAAAACTGTGAGAGGATTAAAGCTTCTAAACTCTTGTTGGAATTTCATAAAAATCAACACCAGTCTGACATGGGTTTCCAGATGATACTTACAACATGTTCTCTGATGGCATCAAAATGGTCTCTTAGCTCCTGGAAAGATATGCTGTTCAGTTCACATTGGCCAAAGTTGAGCTTTCTTCCTTCTGTGATCACAGTTTTGCCAAAGAGCAATGAAAAAAGAGCAAGGCAAGAGAAAGCTCCTATACCCATCTTCATGAGATTATCTGCTCCTGTAAAGAGATATGGATTGTACACATTTAGAAATGCAGTTTTAGTGTGATTAAACTACTTCACAACTTACAAACTAAGCAACGTATAAACTAAGCGTCTTCTATCTATGTGAACTTTAAATTTCATTACTAAGATTAGAACCAGAATGCTAGAAAGCTAAGATCTGGACAACAGGAAGTCACTGGAATAACACATTTTCAGACACAAGACTAATTTATTTGCACTATCCCAGTCCATAAATCAGATATATTAAAGTACTTCAGTTCAAAATACTTTCTACTACCATCCTAAAACACTCCAATACAAGCTTTTCTTATTTCTATGAACAGAACGTCTTTCCAGTTAAATTTACTTAAGAGTAGCATGGAGGTACATTAAAATCCATATTTTATCATATATCTTGGCATAGATAAATAACTTAGTTATTAACACATAAGTTGGCATAGAGAAATAAAATATTACATTAGTTGAACAATTTTTAATAGGCAAAATATAAAAATATAGTGTGTTTAGAATATCACACCAGTAGAAGACACATCTTTTATCCCAGTGCTTACCTGAATTCCAAGGATGCTGTGAGTTGCAGTGATGTCTGATGCTAACCAGCTAACTCTGTCCCTTTATATCAGTGAAAAACTTTGCAGGAAATTTCCTGCAACATAGCTGGGGGTGGTGACTAGAGACTGTACTCCCAACTTCTGGCAGGAGCTTCATTTGCATATTTCAGAAAGAGTTTCCCAAAAGGAAAATTGCAGAGTCATGAGAAAGTAACTGGTGACATCACAAGGTAAAGGATGTGGAGGATGCTGGATGTATACAGGTGTGGGTGGGTGTACATGTGTTTATCTGTGTATGCATGCTTGTGTGTATAATGTCTGACTCTTTTGAAAATGGACTTCTTCCGATTTATTATACTCAGTGCAGTGTAGCTAGGACAATACATTTTTGTTTTAAAATACTGTAAATTGAAATCAATGTAACTTTTGCTAGCAATGTTAACTAAATAACCTCTTATATTTGAGAAAAGGGGAGAAGGCAGTCATTTCTTTGTATAATTCACTTTTTGTGAACACATTCAACAGATGCTAAGAATAAATAGAGAGCTGTGAAAGATCCTAGAGATAAGTTCTAAATAACACCTAAGGAGAAATTTTTTGCACCAGGGCTTTAAAGCAGCAAGCTAGTTTATTTCATGATGCCAGGAATTATGGGGGAATGGGTTAAAGAGTCATGAAAGCAAAGATAGATAGGGAACCATCTGGGAAAGCTAGAGATGTGAGAGTCCCTGTGTGGCCTACCGAGGGTGTACAGTGGTGCCTCGCAAGACGATTTTACAGTAATTCATTCCGTGAAAACAGTCGTCTTGTGAAAAAATCGTTGTCTTGTGAAAAAAATGAAATTTATTCATCTTGTGGTCGTCTTGTGAAAAAATCGTCTTGTGAAAAAAATGAAATTTATTCGTCTTGCAAAACATTGGTCTCAAAAAAAAGTCTTGTGAAGCACGATCATAGAAAAAAACATCTTTCGAAGCACCATAGCAATCTCAGAACCCAATCATCTTGCGGTTTTTCCCCCCTGCAGGGCAATAGTCTAGCGAGGCACCACTGTATTTTGCAGCTCGGCAAATTGGGATGCAGGAAGGGTCCAGAAGAAAAATCCTCTTTTCTAGGCACCATAGCACCAGAGGAGTTCTGGGGCAAGCATTGATGGCCATCCAACTGAGGTGCCCAGCAGTGCTTTGGGAAGGGATGCCCATCCAGGTTGGGCTGGGGCTTTAAAAACCCCTCCCCATGATCCTCTCTGGTGGATGTCTGGCCAGACAGCAGGAGCCCAGCCACCTTTTGTGGTGATATTACACAAAGGAGCATATCTTATTTATTTTATTTATATCCCGCCTATCTAGCCAACTCAGGACCACTCTAGGGAGCATATCCGTGGTGAGGTACAAGAGCATTTTATCCTATCCTATGGTAGAACTGCCCAACTTTTGTGGTGAACGAGGGAAAGAAAGCATTATGTGGGGAACTGATAAGGGGCATGCCCAGCTCAAGAGGGCTGCCATAAAACCCCCATAGTTGATTACCCAGTTGTGTGCTAGGGCAGCAAAGATCAAACAGTGGGGGGCTTGTTATCTGATATAAGGATATGATCCTTATGCTGTGCCAATATTATTCTGATGGGGCCAATCTAAGCAGTGGCCTTTTGTATCCATGATTAATCTTCCCAATAAATCTGTTGATGTTACTAATATGTATGTTTATTTGTCGAACATGGAGCCAAGAGAGCAAGCCAGGCTCTCTCACCTGGGCAGACAAAAGACTGAACATCCAAGACTGGAACTGCATTTCAAAAGGAAGCTTTAAATTGCCTCATTTGCTTCAGAAAGAGGGCATTTAACAGATCCCACATTTCTGGAAGGTTCATTACAAATCTTGACGTGATTGGCTAATGGGGATCAGCTGAGAGGCCATTCCATTAGGTATGAAATTAGAACAGTGGGTGACCCCACTACCTGGAAATTTCACATGCTGTCGGTAAGAACTCTGTTCTGACTCAGTAATCTTGCTATGATGTTCTGTTATGTTTTCCAGTATTGTGTGGGTGGTCCTTGTACCTACTGTGTGCTACCTGAATTGGCTTTTTGGTTCTAAAGTATTTGTAATCTTTTTAAATCTGTGCTATAAGGTATCCAGTCTGGTATAGTGGACAGAGCGATGGACTAGGACTGGGTTCGAATACCCACCCTGCCAGGGAAATTTACTAGGAAGGAGTGGAACTGCTAAAACCACTCCTTAAATACATTGACATTTCTAAGGCATAACATCAACATTTTGAAAATAAAAAAAATCATTATCAGTTGATCAAAGTGATGGAAATGAGTTATGAACAAACAGGAAATAACTTTATTCAAGGCTAATACTGTAGTGATATTACAATCCTTAGATGAAAAGGTATGTTTGGCTGCATACCTTAATTCAGCACGCTTTAATTCATATTTTACATGGTCAGGACTAGAGATAGGCATCACTTAAGTCATCCCATTCATCACATTCCCTCCTCCCCCAATGGCTGCCCCACTCACAAGCTTATACATGCCACCCAGGTTGTCGTCCTTCACCAACTGCCCAGTCTGGAAAGGAACTTGGGCTTCCCTTCCCCACCTCCTCTGGCAGCTGACCATTCAGACAAGGAGGCAAGACAGGGATTCTCTCGGCACAGCCATTGAGTGGTCAGCTGCTGGAAGAGGCAAGGAAGGGAAGTCCAAGCTCCTTCCCAGACTGGGCAGCTAGCAAAGGAGGACATCCCAGGTGGTGTGCAGAGACTTGTGAGTGGGGCATCTGGCTGGAGGATGGGGAGAGGGAATGTACGGTACCTGTGGTACCTTGATGATGAACTTCATTACCCTGGACTGAATTAATTTGTATCCATCTCTATTCAGGACCAACATATAGTGACCCTAATAGGGCCTTCAAGGTAACTGAAATATTTAAGGAATGGTTTTACTAGATCCACTTTCAATGAGTTTCTATGGCTGAGCAGGGATTCAGACCTAGGCCTTCTGAGTCCTAGTCCATCAGTTTATCCACTATACCACACTGGGTATCTTTTTATTTATGGTAGATTGGACAAAATCCTGCTGTATAATTTTGCTGGCATAAACTGGATCAAAATGCCAGAAATAATTAATTTAAAGCTTCCTATCCCTCTATGTCCCTATGGAGGGATGTGGTGGTGCGGCGGGTTAAACCGCAGAAGCCTCTGTGCTGTAGATCTTCAGCTGTAAGATAGAATCCACATGATGGAGTGAGCGCCCATCGCTTGTCCCAACTCCCGCCAACCTAGTGGTTCAAAAGCATGCAATTGCAAGTAGGTAAATAGGGACCATCTCGGTGGGAAGGTAACAGCATTCCGTGTCTAAGTTGCACTGGCCATGTGACCACGGAAGATTGTCTTTGGACAAACGCTGGCTCTACGGCTTGGAAACGGGGATGAGCACCGCCCCCTACAGTCGACTGGACTGGACAAAAATTGTCAAGGGGAACCTTTACCTTTACCTTTACCCCTCTATGTCAGCTTTTGAAGCTTGCTGTTGCTGTCCAAAGTTTGCCAGAACTGCACCAAAGTTTTTGCCCAATATTTCTTAATCCTATGCTAACAGTAAATACCAAACATAGAAACCCTTACTGTAAAATGGCTGATGAATATATTGGAAGGCGTGACCAAAATATTTGGGTTTATTTATTTAATGTGGTATAAGTCCAGCAGTGTATGTCACAGTGGCATGCTGCTTCTAGTTAACAGTTGCCAGTTATATACCTCATCATGTACCAAACCATACAACTGGCATGTGAGTGTTGGCTCCTAAACCAGTGGCCATTCACTCTTACAGTTTACATCATTGCAACTTATGCTGCATAAATAACCAATAAGATTCTGACTGCTATTTTATAACCAAAACTGTTGATATGTATAAACCATTTTGCTTTAAGATTCCCAGGTCCAGAAACATCTATTGTATCTGTCAACTGTAGTGGATTAGTGGAATGGTGGATGGTGATACAGAACTATCATTTTTCAAAGAAATATCCAGGTATGTAAGGGGGAATTCAACCCTTTGACCCTTCAGAGACCCAGTGGTATTAAGGCCTCTTGCAATTTCTGTTTGTAATGCTGGAAATCTGATATACCTGTACAGACTGGAATATGCAAGTGAAACATCATTCAGAGTTGGTCAGATGAGAGTTTCTTTACAAACAGCGTAGTTTGTAAAATACTGCAAAAGTGAAGAATGCGTATGTAATTTGCATTCCTGATTTGTTTTTCTGGGTCACTGAAAATGTAACTATAAGGAAAAATAAGTTTCTGTTTAAAAGAGACTCAGCAGATGGACACTAATTAAC